ATCCATTGTAATGACAAAGCTTGACATTGCAGGGTTGGGTCGAGAATTCCCCCCCCCCCCCCCCTAGACTTAGGTTGAATCAGGGTTAACCATGCCACTCGGGGAATTACACTTTCCTGTTCATGATCTCCCCTCCAAAGAAAAACCGACACCTGTTTTTGCAGCAGTTTAATATATGATTTACTAATTGCCCATAGTGCCGATTTGTACCATGTTGAAGCCAACACTACATCGTTTATTACTAATGATCGGCCAAAAAGAGAGGTGTGCTGGCCTTTCCATTAATTCATTTTGTTTATAGCAGGCTTAGAAATCCACTCGTCATACCAAAAGCAGAAAGAGATACCCCCATAATTCTCAGTGGGGTCGTGGGGAGCAGCACGTGCTGGGAACCAGGCCTAGCGTTCGCGGGCAGCACAAAATTGTGTGTGGTCACTGGCAAGTAATAGGACTATGAGCTACTTTCGGCACCTGCCGCAAGAGCATGCTGACATGGCTATCCCACAGATAACCACTATCCAATTTTTGACAGAGGTTCACACGTGATATCTTCCGCCATCGCTAATCACGCATAAATTCGCGGCATAATCCCCATCCGATGCCTTGACGAGGTGGCGTTTCCCGTTGAATGCATCACAAATTTCGTGCGGAGCATTAAAAATTCAAAAATTTTGATCCATTTTACATTTCTGCCCTGCTTCCCATGACAACACTGGACTATGCCTGTTACCTACCATGGACTTCTCCGTGGCCGCAGTCCTCGCCCACGACCCCTTATTACCCGTTGAACCGCACGCACATTACGGTACGCGGTGTTGGCTGTCACGGGCTCTGATAACAATCCTACCCGAAACCCAAGCCACGGCATTACCCACGACTGGTTTTCACTGGTCGCTACATGTTTGCCTCACTAGGGAACAACCCGCGAAAAGTATCACCCAGGCATGTGCGTCAGATCAGCGACACCCTCACACACTTGCCTTCTGCTTTGAGTCCAAAACACCTCTATTGCAGCATTGAAACAGAGGCCAAGAAGAAGAAGCCTTTGTAATGAATCGAAACCGCCGAGAAGCAGTTTTACTAATACCATGCCGCTTTGCATAGCAGTCGGCTGCACGATGAGAACGATGCAGCCTGCGCAAGGACGTCGTGTCGCCTCAACAATCGTCAAGGTTGACGTGCAACGTTAGGCAGAGTAGCGGGGGGTCTGCCTTCTGACCATGCCGAGGTTCATTCAACAACCGGCACAGAGATCTCGGCTCGGCTTACTCGAGCTAGGCCCATCGCACCGGAGCTACTAGAGTGGCAACTTTATCTTTCAGGGAGGAAGGATAGAATGGGGGCCTCACTGCCAACTGGAGTAGCTCAGTTGGTACACCCATGAACTGTTGAAATACACAGACCCAAGTTTGAATCCAGATGCAATCAGATGAACAGAATAAAATGATTCTCAATTACCTGGGACCGGTCAGTTCATTGATGATATCCCAAGGCTGTCACCCTTTTCAGAAAAAAAAAAGGAAAAAAAGGAAGGAAAAGAGACAGAAAAGCATAGGGTTCACTGCATCAATGGAAGAGAAGTGGCTGGAAAGAAGAAGAGACAAAGAAGGGGCTATGGCAAGGCAAAGAGGCCGAACCGCAAGATACCTTCCCTAGCACCCTCCATTTGAAAAGTTCACGCCGCCAAGCTCACATTGCCGAGCTTCGGGGTTACCAAGCTTCTCAAAACCATACATACTTCGTTTTTTTCCCTTTTTCTTTCTTTCTTTCTTTCTTTCTTTTTTTCAGGACCGTACATACTATGGGCAGTTAAAGCAACATATACAATGAACTGTTAAGGATTGTATGGAAAAACTCTCTGTTTTTCTTCTTCTCTATTCTGGCCAACAGATGGGGGGGGGGGGGGGGGGGGGGGGGGGGGGGGGGGGGGGGGGGGGGGGGGTATAGAATTGGCATCACCCGCCCGCTTGGAATCTTATACATGCATCAGGACACGACGCAGTCTTCTTCGCAGCAAGTAATTGCATAAGGGGAAGTTCACATCTGCAAATCATGCAGAGTAAGGGGTGAGTTACAGGCGCATGAGGCTGGGAACAATGGATCTGGCATATGGGTCTGACCAGGAGGGGAGGAAACCAAGGTTGGCAATTTCACAAGATCTGACTCAACTGGGCATAAATCACACTACCATCTTCACCTGAATAGAAGACATAATGCCCTGTCATTATCGCGGTATCTAGACTGGATGTTGCTCCAAATACAGCTATAATGACCGGGCATTCTATTGGGTGAAAACGGCAACAGAAAATCATTAGTACATGTAGGGGACTGGATACCCATGGCATGATTGTGACTGGAACCGAGGGCGGAGAAGGCACTCCGTGCAGGTAGGGAAGGGTTGTTTTCTGTCGGAGCCAACTGCGCGGTGAACGAAAATGAGTTTGCAAATGGGCACAAAAAACAAGTTCTCGCACGCGCTGCGTTTGAAAAAAAAAGGCTAAAAAAAGGTGCACGGTTCTTCGTAATAAGCGCGGATGTTATAACTACAGGGGCGTGCCGTGGTCTGCAAAGGGCCCGCGTTACGAAATGGCAAAAAAAAATATACTGCTATAAAGCCTATAATGCTATTGTGTACTATTTTTGCAGTTTAAACTTTAAACTACCGTCCACCTGGAAGTTGCTGCCACTTGTTTTTTTTTTCTGCCCATTCAAAATTCAAACCCTGACACCTTTTTTTTTTTTCTCTTTTTTTTTTCAATTTCCTTCGGGCTACTAGGGGTGCTGATATGAGCAGACGCCCCTACCTTCTTCCCCCCAATACAACGTATGATCATTATAGCTGTATGTATCTAGACAGGAATATGCCTCAAATACAGCTATAATGACCGTACGTCGTATTCGGGGAAGCAGGTATTTCCGTGGGGGAGGCTTCGTCTATTGACTCAAACTCAAACTCAAACCCTGACACCAGCGTAGTTGTTTCTTTTTTTGGGGGGAAAATTTTTGATATGCCCCTGAAAGTTCGATTTATTTGTGGCGTGCCCCTCTGACGGCCAACTGACCCTGCCACGCCCCTCTGACAATGATTGAAGTTTCTGAAAAACCCCTGGCGTCTTTTGGGCGTGAATTATGTTCAATATGCCCCTACCGGTGCGGGTTTCCAGTATGCCCCAGTAGCTCCCCTCCCAAGGCCAGGGGAAGAGCTGCGAGTGCCACCAACGGTCACAAGGGCATGCTGGAAAGTTGCACCCGTCACTGACAGGGGCCTGGAGGAAAGTTCAGAGGGCCCAGGGGCACGACAGGGTAAGTCGGCCGCTAGAGGGTCACGCCACAAATAAATCGAACTTTCAGGGGCATATCAAAAATTTCCCCCTTTTTTTCTCTGCGGGGGGGCAAGTTCAGTCAGGCATCAGCAGCTTGAGTAGACTATGATCTGGCAAGACAGCGAAGTTTTAGACGCCTTGAAGGAAAACGCAGCAATTGGGATATCAAATCATATCATTTAAAATAATAATAATAATAATAATAATAAATATAAAAAAAAAATCATATCATTTAGACATAAAAAGGATCTTTCTTAAGGGAACAAGTTGGCAAAGGCATACGCCGCATACCCAACTTGTTGCCTTTCTTTCAGTCTAAAACTTCCCTCTGCGTCCAGAACGAACCTGCTTATACCCTGGCTTACTTACCTCCCCTCCCCACATAGGATTGCCTGCTCTACCCTTTTTTTAAAAGCGCTGGCAAAGCATACTGGCCCTACCCTAGGTCCAGTCACAGTCACACAATCTTTTTTTTTTTTTTTTTTTTTCACACAATCATGCCATGGGAAACCAGCCCCTTTACATGCAGTCACCGGCTCCTACCGTCCTCCGCTGAACATAACACACCCTCATCTGACCGGAAAGATGCCTTGTATTCATTCAAAATCAGGGTACGTTATTTTCGGGAAGACAGTAACAGTGCAGCCAACGGAGCCCCGCTCAAATGAGTAGTGCAGCTATGACTATCCTTCACACGTCTGGTTGGTGGGAAATTCTGCTTTCTGGGAAGAGGCGCCCACAACGTAATGACAGGAAGGGCTTCCGCCATCGATCACAGATTAGGTCATTGCCGCAGCTGAGGGGAATGAGTCTGTGTTCTTCTCATTTGAGTAGATGATGCGGTTTGGAAAAGCTTGGGACGCACTGCAGCAGCACCTCCGGGCCCTCGTTTACTGGTGGTTTAAGACGTTCTGCCCTGACACAACAACCATGTGACTGAATGGTGCAAAGTACTACAAAACATCCAGACGTTGATGAACAGATCACGAGTTCAAAGTTCAAACCCTCCGAATACAACGACGTTAGGTTCCATCTCCCCCAACACAGAAAACAAGCCAAAGGAAAAAAGAAAAACTTGAAAAAGAAATTTGTACTGAGTCCACTGCTGACATGACTCTTTTCTCTCTCTCTCTCTCTCTCTCTCTCTCTCTCTCTCTCTCTCTCTCTCACACACACACACACACACACACACACACACACACACATTCTGCCACAGTCATGCTTTTTTTTTTCTTTTTTTTTTTTGTGGAGTTGTGTATAGTGAACATGACAGCACACACACACACACACATTTAAACAGTGCAATGGAACAGTCTGGCACAGTTCTGCTGTCTGTTTTGTGTGTAGCGAACATGACAGCATACATGTACACAGCTACACACACACACACACACACACAGAAGGGGGGGGGGACACACACACACACACACACAGACACAGAGCTGTCTCTTATACACATCTAGATGTGTATAAGAGACAGGAGGA